TGTCTCATGCTTAACTGCCAATAATCCAACTTCCACATAACTCCCAGACAGCTGGGAAAAGGTCCTTAGAGTTTTTAGTCATGGTACAGAAACACACGTCCACACAAAAAATCTGCAGCTGTCCTTTTTCTCTACACCACATTTTTTTATCTGATTTTGGGGCCCACTCATGAAAGTCTTGACAAACTTAAAACATTTTTACCTACATTCTGGTTTACAAGCGCCAGTGAAAGCTGCAACATATTCCTTCCCCCCCCCCCATTCTTCAGCTGACAAATCAGCACATACTTGCTTGAACAAAAAATGAAGGGGAAGAAGGGAAAAAATAAACCACACCACCCTATTCAACATCCTCAGTCGTTGTATGAATGCATTCAAAAAAACCTGGAAAGGCATCTACTGTATTTTTTTTTCACTACAGATCAGCCACTGGTGCACCTATTAAAATTGTTCGATTTCCAAAGCAAATATTATTTTTAATGAAGTGCAGTCCTGCAATTATCCTGTACACTCAAGTAACAGTACTGCATTATATTGTTTTGCAAGGTCCCAGAAACATGAAACTTTTCTCTAACTAATTTTCATAGCCCCCTGAAGAGAAACTGATGGAGTAAGCAATGCAGCATTTGCTCCAGAATAAAATCTTATCAAGGGGAAAAAAAAAATATGAAAAAGAAAAAAAAAGAAAAAAGCATAGCATTAAAAATAAATCAGCTTCTTTACTGCAAGTAAGTTAACAAACACAGTCTGTCTGCCACTGTATACCAGCTATGCTAATGCTATAGCAGAGTGATTCAGCAATCTACCTAATTAAGCACGAGGAAAGTTTCTTTTATGGAGGCTCTATTTGATTTACACCACAGGATCATCAGTTCTTATTTAACAGCTTGTTTTTACACAAGTCCAGAAACTTTATTAAAAGCATGCCCATTCATTTTTTTAAACAAAGCAAATAATTCACTCTCCACTGAATAGCTCTGTATCATAAAGTACCAAAGTGCTGACATATTAAGTTGTATCTACATTATTAAACTAGTTGGTGGACATTAATACTATAATCCATACTGCAGACATTAAACCTCAACCATAAAGATTAGTAAAGAATTAATATTGTCACATCGAGACTGAAACCTTAACACTCCAGCCATAAATATTTCTGAAGGAGATGAAAAACAATTAGCATAAACACCAAAGAAGGGCAAGAACACCTGTTCTTTTTCAGGGCGATAAGCATTTTATTGTTCTCTATTTAAAATGTAATGACCTGTGTAATTACAGTAATATTACATTGTATTGCAAGGGCTTGGAATGTCACACTTTGAAAAGTGTTGTCAAAACAATTGGAGGGAGGGGAAAAAAAAAAGGACCACCATTAACCCTTCACACCCCAGGGTCTAAAGCTTTTGTATTACGAAGGATTACATTGTTTGATTCAGCAGATAAAGAAAAACATCAATTTTTCCAGGCAATTAATAAAAAAATGTTTCCTCCTAAACATAAAAATCAAGGCGAGGGGGCTGCTCTCCACCACAGCTATTCCCGACTCCCAAACTTTGGGGCCAAACATAAGCTTATCTTTACAGCCTCACTCAGCCAGCAACAACTTAGGGCAAAGGAAGATGCAACAGCACTAGTAAAAATAAGAGCATCTGCCAGCAGGGTTTTCTCACATTACACTGCATCTATTTGCTTACTAAAAGCATTAACCAAGCTCCAAATTTAAGCTAAAAATCAAGTACAACATTTCTACGTTTTCCAACTCTGAAAGGAAAACAGTCTCCTTTATTATCCACAACATGCAGCCACCCCAGTACCTCCACAAGTGCAGGGATGGAACTGGCGCTCTCAGATGCGTCACTTCATTACTATTTGACTAGACCTCTACTTAATAACATCTAGTCTCATAAGCCCACCACATTATTCTATCAATAGCAAGATTAGCATGCAAAAAATCTCTGATTTTTAAAAATAAAATTATTCCTATCAACCTTGATACAGAGTTTGCAGTATTTAAAGCTTTATCCTTGAGAAAAGATTATTCCCCATAAGCAGATTTTATGATGCTTCATAATTCTTCACATTCCTGAAGCAGTAAAGGAGAAATTGCTGCCCACAAGTTTGCTCTTGAACAGAAAATTACAGGTACATTTAAAAAACACAATAATCCCACTCCACCCCCAAATAAAGCAACAAAAAAAAAATTCCAGGAAAAAAAACCACAACAAAAAAACCACACCCACAGAGTTTTAAGATTGTACAACAGCAAAAGGAAAAGAAAAATAATTTTGCTACATATCTGCATCACCTCTTTACCTTGCATGCTCTGACACTCAACAAATATGGCTCCAGGAAAAACTACATAAATAAAAATAAAATTCATAATTATGCAGAACCATCTATACCTTTCCAACGCGTATTTAAAAATAAAATAAAATCAAACAGGAAAGAGAAAGATCTAGTTCATCTGGAATTGAAAGCTGGTACAGCAGAGAACTAGAATCCACCTAAAAATAGTGTGTGACAGACAACAGCTATCCCGCTGAATCTTTATAATATTCTGCTCTCAGGCCTAAATAAACAACTTTAATTTTTCCTGGCTATAATTAAGTGGCAGGCAAACAAACAAGCATACGGAATGTGAAAGAATAAGGTTAAGAAGATAGGAGAAGGTTGCTGGAGCCTGGATGTGGAAATAAGAAAATTGCCTATTGAGTGTGGAAATATCCTTTCAGAATTCATCTGATAACACAAGCAGGCCACCTGCTATACCAACAATAAACCAACCTGTAAGCTTTTGTACAGCACCTTTAATTCACACGGACCCAACATTCCTATGGAGGCCTTTTTTAGCGGTGGGGGAGCAAGGGGAGGAATGCTCCAGGAGAGCTAACTGCTGAAGAACCCTACCCCACATGCTAAGGGAAAAGGGATCTGTAATAAAGGTAACGAGGAAAAAAGAGCCGGAGCTGTTGTAAGAAAAACGCTTTAAGAAAAAGGCAGCAGAGGTGTGCTTCCGATTAGTCTGCACTTGGAACAGTGGAATGCATTGAAGGTAAAAAGCGAGGGGAAAAAAAAAAGAAGGAACACAAAGCTTCACAATTTGTAACAAAGTGATTTGGAACAAAGATTGTTTTGCCATCTGGATTCTGGTACTTATGGAATTTGGAATTTATCACCATCATCCATATACATGTGGGCGACCATATTCTAAAGAAAAAATATAATGCATTCAAGCCTCTGAATTCCCCTCCCCATCATTACAATTGCAAACTGCAGTCACCCCTCTGCTACTGTCCCAGAAATCACCTCCTCACAAAAAGAGCCTCACAAGCTTCCAAAATAAAACTCTGCCACAGCCCTAAACATATGCAAAGTCAGAAAACCTTCCTCACAACCTCCCTGTCACTCTACATTTACTAATCTGTGTCTACTGACGTTTTACTAAGTGAAAACAAGACTGACCCGATGTTTAATATTTTAATGCTTTAAAACACTTGTAGATCTGATATACTGAAGTTGTCCAAGCCCTCAGTCATTAGTACGGCTTCAACATCTACCCAACAGTAGATCTATTATTGTAAATCGCTATCTCGTGTTACCACAAGGAAAAAAAAAAGTGTATAAACACACATGGTGATGGTGGGAACGCTTCAGACTCAGAAACACCCAGAAGCAACAAAACAGCAACGCTAAAGCCATCGGTAGGAATCAGTGGTGTTTGGAAGTCCCAGTGAATTTAAGCATTGAAAATGAAAAATTTTCAAACTCTTTAAAAAAGGAAAGGAAAGGTGACACTTGAGAAATCTGATGTCAGAGTAGAGCACACCGTGGGTGACACTAAGAGCGGGGAAAACAGCTGGGACTACAAATCCACCAGCAGACCCCAAAGTTTCCTGGGATCTGTGCTAAACCTCGCTCCAGCTGCAGGAAAACGCGGACCTGCACCCCCCTCCAGTGAACCCCGAGTTGGGGGTGGGAAAAAAAAAAAAAAAGGCAAAAAAAACCACCAACAAAAAACCGGACGCTTTCAGCAAATTGTTTTCCTGCCAGCATACTTCCAAGAGGAATTTTGCTCGACTTGTCTGATTATTTTTTGCGCTGCTGTTGTTGTTGCCAGAGCCAAGCGAGGCGAGTTGTTTCCGGACTCAGCCCTGTGCCCTGAGCGCGGCTCCCCCCGCTCCGCACCGGGACGGAGCCGCTCCCCGGGCACGGCCCCGGCCCCGCCGGGCAGGGCAGCGGCGCTCGGCCCCCGCACGCCGCGGGGCGCGGATCGGGGCGGCCGGACCGGGCTGAGCCCGGGCACAACTCGCGGCACGCACGGCCCGAAGGGGCACAATGAAATCGCCGCTCCCGCAGGCCGGGGCGGGCGAGGGCAGGAGAGGGTTAAGGGGGAGGAAAGGGGAGGGGGAGCCGGCCCAGCCGCCACGGAGGAGGGCAGAAGGCGACGGATCACCATGGAAAACGAGGAGTTTGGAGGAGCGGATCTCAGGCTCGGCCGGGAGAAAATAAGCCCCCTCCCCAAGGAAGGGGAGAGGAGATGGGAGAGAAGGGAAAGGGGGGAGGGGAAAAAAAAAACCCCAAACCCAAACTTCTTGGGTTTTTAAAAATTTGTTTCCAGTTTTGTTTTGAGGCTGAAATAGGTGTTGTTTGTAATTTGTTTGCTTTTTTTCTTCCCCACACCACCCCCCCCGCAGCGGAGGTTACAAGGGCTCAAAAAAAAAAAACTGCCCACAAAACTGAAAGTAAAAAAGAAATTCACAGCAAATAAGAAAAAGACAAAATAAGAAATAAACGAGGGGGGGAAAAAAAGGAATATGGCGAAGTGTAAACAATCCCCCTCCCGCCGCGGCCCGCGGAGTTTGGAAAGTTTGCGGCGCGGGGGAGGGGGCGGCGGCAGGGCCGGGGCGAGCGGGGCACCGGGAGCGCGGCGGCGGCGGCGGGAGCCGGGCAAGGAGCGGGGGGGGAGAGGAAAGAGAGGGGGGAAAAAAAGATGCACTTACCGTTCTCGCCGTCGGAGAGAGCGATCCATTGGGCAGATACGGGCTGCTGAGGTCGGGGATCATTATAAAGGGATAACCCGGGTATGGTGGGCCCTTAAACAACCCTCCATCTTGCCTCTTCGCAGCTAACATGGCGGGGAGACACGAGCGGGAGCGGGGAAGGAAGGGGGCAACAGGGGGAAGAGAAGGGAGGAGAGGGGGGGAGGGAAAAGTTTTTTTAGTAAGTGTCCCCAAAAGAGGAGCCGGGCGCCCGGCGGAGGGGCGGCGGTGCGGGGCGGGCGGCGGTGCCGGCGCCGGCCGGGCCCGCGTACTCACCTTCCTCTAAACTTTCCCGGGATTTATCTCTGAAAGTTTCGGACCGAGGCGGGGGCCGCCGCTCCGCCTGGGAGCGAGCCGGGGGTCGGCGTGGGGCAGTCGGGGAAGGGGGTGGTTGGGGTGGGGAGGATATTTTTTGGGGGGTGGGGGGGAGAAGGGAGAAGAGGAGGAATGAAAGGCGAAAAAGAAGGGAGAGGTGCGGGGAGAAGGTGGAAGGGGAAACAAACAGAACAAAACAGAAGGCATCGTTACAAGTTGGTGCCGCGGAGAAAGTTGGGCGCCGGCGGGAGCGGGACCCGGCGCGGCGCCCCCGGCCCCGGCCCCGGCGCGGCCCCGGGCACAGCGCGGCCCCCGCCCGCCCGCCCGCCGCCCCGAAACGGCCCCGCGGGGGGCTTCCCCCGTACCTCCGAGTCTGAGGAGCTGTTTTGATTCGTTTCTGATTCATTGACGAGAGACGACTTGACATCAGCTAAATCCCTCTCCGCCGAGGAGTTCTCGGAGATCTTCTCCTCCTGCTCCCCTTCGTCTTTGAAAGAGATCAGTTCATCGTTGGCGCCCAGGTCGTCCCCTCCACCGCCGTTCAGCTGCGGCATTTTCCTCCTGCTTCACCCCACCAGCAGCAATTTTGCAAAAAGGGGAAGGGGAAAAACAAAAGAAAAAAAAAAAAAAGGAGGGGAATGGGGGGGGGAAAAGAAAAAGAAGAGGGGGGGGGAAAGTTTGCACCAAAAAAAGAAGAGTCCAAGGTGAAAGTTTCTTTTTTTTCCCCTTCTCTTTCCTCCTGGGGAGGGGAAAAGAGGGAGGAGGAGGGGAGGGAAATGTCTCTTCTTTGCTCCTTTGCACCAGTGACTTTAGGCTTCTTCCTTTCCTTCTTCGGGATTTTCTCTTTCTTTCTTCCCGGGAGCTGCTCGGCGTGCACTGCGCGCACACGCACACCCGCGCACGCACTCGCGGAAAAATTAATAATAATAAAAAATATATAAACCGTGGGGAGGGGGGAGCAGCGGGGGGGAGGGGGGTTAAAAAAAAAATAATGCAACAAACCAAGCCCAGAAGTCAGCTGTGACGGGGGGGCAGTCGCCGCGGATATGGGGAGCCTGTGCCGCTCGGGTTTGAGTGAGTTGAAGTTGGACTGAGAGCTTTTCAGTTCAAAGGCGGCGCTGATTGACAGATAGAAAAAGGGGGATCGAAATCCGGAGGAACGGAGAAGTCTGGGATCCGGGATTATTGACAGGGAGCGAGAAACACACCAGGCACTTAATGAGATGCAGGAGAGGGCGGGGGCTCCCCGGTGACGTCTGCATAAATAAACAGGTCTGGGGCGCGGGAGGGGGAGGAGGAGGAGGGTGGGGGAAGTAGGAAACTAACAATGATCCTTTTTGGCATGGGAGCGGGAGCGCCAGGGGAGGGCAGCGGGGGCGGGGGCGCCGCTGGGGGGGCCGGCACGCAAAAGGAGGGGGGAGAGGCTGGCCCAAAAAAAAAAAAAAAAAAAAATTTAAAAATTGTGCGCCGTAGCTCAGAGCTGCGGGACGGGGGGAGCGAGGGGAAAAACACTCGAACGGGTGTCCCTGACTCCGCGCTCCGGGAGCGCCAACTTTTACATTCTGGACATTAATAAACATATCATCCCCCCGCAGCCCGGGTTCTCCTGAAGGATGTTTGTGTGCCCTTATTATTTGGGTGCATGTGACGGCAGGGTGGTGCGGTGGGTGCTTTTTTTAAACCGTTAACATTTTTCATGCCACTCGTTGGAGGCAAGAAACTCCAATCATAATAAACACTAGAATATAGTAAAAGCCTTTTTTTTTTTGGGCAGCACTTGGTCCTTGCATTTATTATGGTTATAACACGCAGGATGAAAATGTGTGAGATCACTCACTGAAGATCAGATATTTCCAAATTATCTTATAGTAAGGCATAATGTTTTCTGGTCCTTGATGTAAAAAAAAAAAAAAAAAAAAAAAAAAACAAAAAAACCACACACAAAAAAAGAGAGAGAGAGAGGAGGAAAAGGAATGTGACTGCTAAGAAGTTAATTAGCATGGCAGGACGGAGAATCAAGGACTCCCAGACTTCAGAAGTGAAAAGTTGTGGTGGCGTAAACATCACGCTGCTGGGGGGCAATCAAAGAGAAGGGGGGTCCGCGGTCCGGCCGCGGGGTCCCCGCGGGGCGCGGAGCCCGGCCCGGGGCTGCTCGGTCCGGCCGGGGCTGCTCGGTCCGGCCGGGGCTCTGCCCGCACGGCAACAAAATGGGGAGCAGAGTCATGCGGATGCGAGAAATGGCATCTGTTCCCCGAATCTAATGTGGTGAGGGGAAGGGGAAAACAAATTGATCTTCCAGCAGTGACAAATTGTAACAATGGACGAGTCAATTGGAAACTTTAACATGGGCAAGGAACAAAAGGAGGGGAGTGGGGAGGGGGGCGGGGGGAGACAGTAATTTCAATGGGAATTAGTAAATTGCCTAATGGAAATGGTGTTTGAAAGCAAGGGACAGGCTGTACTAAATAATCCAAACATTCCTCCAGAAATCTAACCTGCTGCTCATGCTAAGGGTCATTCAGCACATAGGGTTTCCAAAACAAAGCCAATTTGTCATGCAATATTTAGAGAGTTTGGGGGTTTCAGCTAAACTGTCTTCTATAAAAGAATAATAAAAATAATAATACAGAGATCGACAAGGCTAACACGAATTCTCAGGCATTAAAAAGTTCACATAGAAATTTGCATACTAAAGGGAAAGATGCAGACAAAATAGAAATAAAAAAATCACTGCAACTTACAACTTTAATATTAATCAGTAAAGCAGAAGTAGAGTGAAAGGAAGCATGAAAAGAAGTAAAACAAATGTGTACATTTAATCAGACAGGATTGCATAGGACACAAAGAACAGGGCTAATTAGTCTCAGCAGGTAGGGACTAACCTTCAGACTTCATAAATAAATAAGTCTGTGAACAATGTCTAAGTGGGAATATGGAGACAGAAAAGGGATTATTTTAAGACACCAAGTAAAAAACATGACTAATGAAATACTTCACTGTTAACTCAATGTACAAATGCATTGAACAGTTTCTTTTTCCACTGGTCTTTTGACTAACTTGCTTTTTACTTTCAGAAATTGTACTAAATAACTGTCTGTGGGCATGCACACTCCCTATTTACCCCTGATTATGTACTTACTGTCTCTGCAAACTAGTGCCTTGCAGAGTGACACCTTAACAAATATTCTCCATTTTTGTTTGCTTTTTGATTTCAAATGCCTTTATATCCCAAAACAATACGAGATTAGAAATACAAATGTGACAGACTCCTATTTATTTTGCAGGGCCACGTGCTATAATTTGATCCAAATGAACAAAAATAGTTGCACAGTTTTGTTTTGTTTTCCCAAGATCTTTTTACAATCTGCTATGGATTTTTCTTTAAACAAGCGTCCTTTTGCTTCAGTCCCAACATAGTTGCTAACTATTTAGTAAGCACCATCAAAAGTTAGTGTGCAGGACAGAGCCAGTTGTTGCCCAAAGCTGGTTGCAGAAGAAGGGCCTGATTCTGTAGAGCTCACACATGAGTCACATCACTGACAGGTGACTTGTGGAGGTGATGCCACACCCGGACTACTCGTGCAAGCAGTGTTACTCACACGAGTAAGTGCTGCCAGAAGGGAGCTCAGTGCTGTTTGCCCCGGTGCCAGTGGTGGTCCTGGGTGTGGAAGATGGCTCTGGAAGGGCGAGGGACTGTGCCCCAGCTCTGGAAGTTGTTTCCTGGGCACGTTTTTGCAGCTGGGGTTTTGCCCCCATGGTGGATTCAGAGGAGTCCTGTGAAGGGGCAGGAAACTGCTCTCAAGTTTTCATCAAGTTCTTCCTTTTGCAAACTTCCAGGGGTTTGTTTTCAAACTGCAGTCTAGAGCGAGTTTAGTTGTGAAGTCCAAGGATTGTAGATGGTTACTGAGCCAACTCGGTTTAACGAAGGTAGTACAAGTCACTCTGGGTAGCTTGTGCGTCTGATTTGTATCATTTCTCCTTTTGTAACAATTTGTTTCACAGTCAGGGAAGTGAGAGCTCTCCAGGGGTCAATGGCAGCTGTTGAGTAGTAGAGTCTCAGATGATACCTTGGATTTAAAAAAAAAGTACAGTGTTTAACAGTGAAAGAAACACAATATTAAAAAAAAAAAATAGAATAAAAAAAATTCAAGCTACTCCATGTCACGAAACACAATTTATTGTTTGAATACCTGGTTTTAAGTGACAGCTGGAGAGACAAAGCCAGGTGCTCCACATTAGGACAGAGATGTTGTCTTTCTTGCCAAAGCTGACCTCTAGCACAGATGAAGAAGTGGAAGTGCCTTTCTCCAAGCTTTTGTAGCCCTCACCACTCAGTGCAATTGTACCACATCTGAGCTGAGGGGTTTGGTGACCGACGATGGTGTCACCATTTACACTTTGGCCCAACAGTTTGGTCCCGAGACTCCTGCAGTAGAACAGCAGCAGTGAAAAACCATGTGAGCTTCACCTCACAGCTCACAGTGCAATGAACTGAAGAGGTTGACATGGGGCAGCCAAGGAAATTTACTGTTTTATGAAGAATCTTTTGGAGTCTTAAAGGTCTCACCAAAGGCCCAAGCCTTTATTGGAGAAATATGGTCTGCTAAATGCCAGCTGGATCTCCTGGCTAATGTTTAAATATTTGGTGTGAATCTGTTTTCATGGCCTTCTCCAAGAGGTCCCAATGTAGGTTGCAATGTGTAAAATTCAAATTATTTATTTTGGAAAGATAAAAGCACTTTGGTTGACCAGGCTGGGATTTGAGTCTACAGCTCAAAGGAATCTGCATGTTTACAAGTAAAAAAAAAAAAAAAAAAAAAAAAAAATCAATATTGAAAAGGTTCCGATAACTGGAAGCAAACACATCTGCCTAGTGTCTTACCAGTACTGGCTCTTCCAGAGTTAGAAAAGAGGGGAATTTTTTTCTAGGGCAGACAAGATGACAGCATGAAAACACAGAAACCATGGCTCCTGTCTGCAGTCATTTGCATTGACTGAAACAAGCACACGTGAAAATTCAAGAAACCTATTAAACAGGAAAAATATCAACAAACAGCACCAGATCATGGTGCTACTGCCAGATTTCTTTGTGGCTTTAGATGTCACACATACTGACCAGGTCACTGTGTGCTACTAGATAAAGGAGGACTTCCTATCTTCATTTGATGGAGAAACATTGGAAAATTAGTTCCAAAAAACTGCATGCATTGTTTTTCAAGCTCATAACACAGCCTAATGGCTCTCAATCCATGCTTTGCTTCCTAAATCATGCCTATTGCTCAGTAGGAACATCCCTCCCTTTTAGCACCTAAACCACAGCTGTACCACTTGCTTTTGTTAGAGATAATTCTGTCAAATAATAAAATCGTTAATGGGTAGAAATATGCATTCATGCAGGGATTATTCACACTTTATCATGAGGTGATATCAAGCACTATAGGAGTGAATGACAAGAAATAGGCTTCTGAAACACGGAGCCCTCCATAAATATACCATTTTTATTGACAACCCATCTTTTAACCCTAATAGTAATGGAAGAAATCCAATAAATGAAACATTTACTGCATAACTTGCCTTATTTTCGGGTGGTGTCTGATTCCTTTCTAGCTGTCTCTAGAAGATGTTTTTAGCCTAATTTGCTCCCTAGAAATTTCACTCGCTAGAGTTATGCATCTATGACGTTTTATTGCCTGAAGCCAAGTCTGAATAAGAACTTTCTTAAGATATACTTATCCTAATGTCAGTCTACAAGAACTGGACTGCTTTAGTTTGATTTATTTGTGCAGCAGAGATATGGTGCACCTATATAGCTGGCCATGGCCTCAGATTGTATCTAATACCCCAAACACAAACAAGTAAGTGAAACCAGCAAGTTTAGTGTGGTCAGTTACAAGTAGACACTTTTAAACTAATCACCTTAGATTTTTATTTATATGTCTGTTTTCCAAAACAACCAAAGCAGAAGACTGCTGTAAACCACTCTAATTTCACAGGAAGGGTGAGTGTAGGTGTCTGTAATGTCTGTAAATGGTCACAGGCACTCACCAAGCACTAGCCAGATGCAGTGTGCTTCGGCTGTCTAAGGAATACAGGTTGGCATTGAAGGACCAGGAGCACAGAGGTCACTAGCTGAGCTTGCTGA